TAAGAGAAATTATCAATTAAAAATTAAAAATAGTTTTTATAAATTTTTAAGAGGAAATGCAAATTTCAAAAAGGAAATATTTTTCTTAAAATTGTTTTCTAAACTACTTTCTCTTAAACTGCTCCTCATTTCAATTGCACGAAGTTTTTTAGTATCACATCTGTTGAAACGACATCCATGCACCCTATACCGCAATAGTGGCTTGCTTTCGTCATACCGGCGACGCCATTCCAACAGTTATAAAGTTTTCTTTCTCAATTACATACATACAAACCATAACAGAAGCAACAAAAAAAAAAAACAATTAATTAGAAAATAAATTTCAAAAATAATTTTAAAAAATTCAAAACCAAAACAATTAATAAAATAGTCAATCAACTTTGTTTTAGTACTAATTTGCCTAGCAATTAGAAATAATTAAGTATTAATAAGCTCGCACAAATACACTAACGACACTCATAGTATTCACCATACGCATGCGAATATAGCGCACATATACATATACATCTAAATATATGTAAGTAATCGCACATCTATTTCCAAAAAGTTTGCTAATTGGTGCAAGTTGAGTTCGGTTATTAGCGTTTTGAGGCAAAAGCAGAGCGTAGCATTTACTGAATAAAAGCACATTAAAGCAATACAAACACATACATAATTACATTACTGATTACTAATAGAAACGAAATTACCTAAACATCACTAAAATACAACTACTTAGTGGATATACTGCAATAATTGCAAAAAATTCAAAAAAAAAAGTTACGCTGTATTAGTCATAACAGTGATTATTTACAAAACTCAATCCATAACCTTTTTTTAAATAACGGTCTACTAATTTATTGATTATCTAGATAAGCTTATCATAGCACTAACAATTTAAAATTGAATAGAAAGCAGTGCCGCCCACAATAGACTTATCGGAGTCGAGCAAAAATTCGCATATTAAACTCGAGTTTCTCAGTTTTTACCCTTTACTTCCAACTATTATTTATTTATTTTGTATGTTGTAAGTTTCTTTATATTGTTTAAGTTTTTTAGTGGTTATTTTAAAAATAACTGTATTTTCGTATGCAGGAGTTTTGATAAAACGATACCACAATTTTTGTTCAATTGAAAAAACGATTTGAGACCATGTCTGAATGTTAGGCGTCGAATTTATTATATGGCAAGTCCAAGCAGAGAGAAATTTGTATTGCAATAAGTATTTTAATCATTCGAAGAATTTCTAATGTAACCTCAAGAAACAACCCGTTAAAGCGACATCGAATTAAATTTGATTAATGATAAACGTCCTAAATAGTTGTATTAAAATAAAACGGTTGATTATTTATCATAAAACGTCTAGTAAAAAGATATCCGTAATTTTCTAAACTGTATCTTGCAAGGGTGATCCATTTCGATGTTTCCCACTTTTTTAAAGAAAAAACATAGCACCTTCAAATTTTATGGAGAATTTTTATTATTGTTCTAAAGAACATTTTTTGGCATTTATTGTTTGAAGATTATCTCTTTCAAGAGATAGTCGCTGCTACGTCTCAGATAGTCCATTCGTTGAGTCCAATTTTTGATGACTCGTTCGCGCAATTCGACTAGTAACTGACGAATGATATGCGTGATGTTTTGCTGCAAGGCTTGAATCGAAGAGGGATTGTTCGTATATACTTTAAACTTTACTTATCCCCACAGGAAAAGTCTAACGCTGTGATAGCACACGATCTTGCTGCCCAATCGACCGACCCAAAACTTAAATTATCTGCTCACCGAAGTGTTCTCTCAATAAATGATGATTAGATGTGTGGGAAGTAGCATCGCCTTGTTGAAACCAAATATCGCCGAGATCAGGTGCTTCAATTTCAGGCATTAAATTGTCGGTTACCATGGAGCGATAACGGTTGCTACTGACCGTTACGCTCTCACCGACATAATTTTTGAAGAAGTTTGGACCGATGATATCACACTCCCACGAACCACACCAAACCGTTGTTTTTTCTTGATGAAATGGCAGCTCTTTAATTCTTGTTTACTAACCCATTGAGCCAGAAATAGGCCTCGTCGCGGGACAAAATTTGGCTTGAAAACTTTTCACGAGCCCACAGAACGAAGCGATGTCGTTTGGGAAGGTCGAATGGCTACAGTTCTTGCACAAGTTGAATTTGTACGATTTCAATTTAAGATCTTGACGAAACATCAGCCAACTCATTCCATACGCCAGTACGAGTTTGCTGCAAACTACTATCCACGGTATACGATCTGTCAAAAAAGAACAAATGAAAAAAGTACGTCTACACACGTCAGACATGATCCAACCGGAATGAGCCGTTACGAACAGAAAGGTTTTGTTTGTGGAGTCGGCAGAAAATCATTTGCTTTGAGCTGCTCTGATGGCCAGCAATTTGTAATTTTCGTTCGCTATTTACATTAGGATTAGTTGAGACGTTCGTCATAGTTTCTTTTGTAGTCTTCTATATATTCTGTTCTAGTCTTCTATATCTGTAAAAAAGATAAGCCAGAACAATAAATTAGTCAAAAAACTTCCCAAATCTAGGCTCAAAGGTATTTTTTTCATTTGAAATTTTGAAATCAGACTACATTTGAGCGAATCAAGGTAAGGGAAGAGATCACTTCCATTCGATATCCCGCATACGAAATATTTTAATTTTATGCAGTTTTTTTATGTCACTAATATTACAATATTAATCAATTATTTTCCACCATAAAGTTTGTTGTGCTTATAATTTTTTAAATAATTTACTTATATGTATAATATTTTTAACAAAAGAGATTTCCGAACAAAAAAAAAAAAAAAAAAAAAATCAAAATTCAATATTTTAATACAATCCGTTAAAATTCCATTTAATTGAATTTCAATGAAATGTCAATTCGTTAACTATACAACCAGCAACATCCCGTACTTCTATTCTTTTTTCTCTCTTTACTTTTATTTATAGTTCCCGCAGGGACGCCTTATAGCCACCATCCACCTAGAATTTGGCCTTTGCAATTCAGACTGTGTGTGTAATGAAATATTTCAATCGCTCTTTAAATGAATTTACTTGCAAAATGCTTTGCCAAAACAACTACAACAACAAGCATAAAGTTTATAGTTATATAAAGAAATACATACATACTATACATATATATTTACATAGTAAATTCATAACAAATAAGGCAAAAACGAAGCAAAGATAATGCAAAAGCGTAAATTTTAACGAAAGCAATCGGGCTAAAATAGCAAATAACTAAAAAAGGCACCTATTTTTGCGCAATTAGCAAAATGCGATTTTGTACCTTTGAACTTTAAAATTACGTCACAAGAACGCTTAGCTCACTAGATAAAAAAGCATCAAAAATTTGCATAGAAAAAGAACAAAAATGTTGTTGAAATAGAAAGTATTCGATGCGAAGTGAAAATAGACTAACTGCTAGGTCCACAAAGCACACAAACTCAACTTAGGTTCGCTCCAAGCGTACTTAGGGCATTTCCAGCTCAAAACACGCATACACACACATACACACACAAAACGGAACGATTAACACAAAAGTTGAAGCAAATTGTACAAAGGAAAAAAAGAAGAAAATTATTTATGCCAAATGAGAATTTATTCACTTAAACTTAGACAATATTTGTTTTGTTTGTTCAAATGCAAACCTTAAACAGAACTTACTTACACTAAATATGCTATATACAATCCTACATACAAATGTATAGACATGCACACACACATACATATATATGTATATCTACACGTAGGTGACAGTATTTTCTATTTCTAAGTACTTAGGCTAGCCAATTACGTCAGATAACTATTTTAAGTGAGACTCTATATATATAACTGTTTCGAACACTCGTTAAAGTAGCAAAATAAGTGCAGCGTGGCAGATAAAGCAGCCAGGCCAACGCTGTCCTGTCGGCAGCACGCTCTCAGCAGCGTTATATCCTAAGTTTAAGTTAATTAGTGTGTAAAATGTGTAGGTATTTTTAACAAAATTATATAATTAAGCGCTTTGATCAATGCAAGTATTTGCTTGGTTTTCCATATTAAATATTTTCGAATTTATATTTTAAGCAAACCACTTTAAGTGTGACTATTTGTAGTATTTGTTTATTTTCATTTATTTTTTAATATATTTACAATTTTTTTCCTACACTGACAAAAACAATCCTGCCAAATAGTAACATACTCATCCACTCATAGACATTTTCTAAATGTAGCTGTCTTAGTGCCTTACTTAGTATTTCCTAATTCAATTTACGCACATTTTTTTTATAAAATTTTAAGATTTCAATGAAAATTATTTTAAAAATATTTTTATTCAATTTCAATGGAAATTGTCTAATTTTTTTTTAATTTCAATGAAAATTGTTTAAAAAATAAAATATTTTAATTTGTATGAAAATTGT